CTGTTCATGGAATGTGTATCACTTTCACTTAAAAAAAGAAAACGAGCAGATGTGTGTGTGTGCGCGCGTGCACACATATGCTCATGGATGCCCAGAAACCCTGTAAAGCAAAAGTAGTAAAGAGCATCCTTGATGGCAAAAACCTAATTAGGTTGTTGGGTTTGTAGTGCAGAATGGATTCAGGTCACAAGGAAACTGAAAGTCTTGACTTAATGCAACAGAAAAATGGAACACATCCTAATTCTCAATTAAAAAAATAAAAAGACCTCTATAGTAAAAACTCATTTCTATGCAGATGGATATGGAGGCATGTGTTTAAAACGTTCCAAGATATGCAGATAGACAAGTGCTTATTTTGAAGGTCATTGTTCTAAGCATTTGGCAGCCTGGTCATAACAGCAAAATTTCTTCGTGGCATTAGTATTCCCTTTGCCAGAAAATCTTATGCCCTTTTAGGGTATTTTCTGTCAATTCTACTCCTTCAGGCACATATAGTTTGATAGAAATGTGTACTTTTTAAAGTACACATACTAGGAAAAAAAGAAATATATCTTGTCGTGTGTAGTAATTAAAAGCTGTAGAACCATGTTTTTTTTCCTCTGCGCCAGGCTGTATTTATCCCAGTTTAGAAAATTTATTCACATAAAGACTAATTCCAGGAAATGACCACAAGATGGCAGCATATACATATGATCACTAAACATTTGAAGCCAAGGAAAACCTACTGTTAATGCTATTTTAAAATTATTCTTTAAAAAAGTAGGTCAATGGTTTTCATAAAAAGATTATAATGAAAACAAAATAAAACAGGCTCCACACTTTGTGGGCAATAGGTCACTGTGTTAAGTGAATGTACCCAGAAAAGGATAACTCTAAGAGTGTTAGATTATTCATCCCACACCTACTGATAAAGAGGTTCTTCCTTTCATCTTACTTGTAGGTTAGCTGTTGCCGACATCGACCTAATAACATATCTGCATCTCAGTTTCCTCATTTGCAAATGGGAGTAAGAATAGCACCTCCCGTGTAGAGCTGCTGTGAGGATAAAGTATGGGAAAATATATACAGAATTCCTAACAGATCCTAATATGTTGTGTTAGCTATTAATTTTTATTATTTTTATCATTCACAATTTTTGTTTAAGCTGGATTTAGAAAAGGCAGAGGAGCCAGAGATCAAATTGCCAACACCCGTTGGATCATCGAAAAAGCAAGAGAGTTCCAGAAAAACATCTACTTTATTGACTACGCCCAAGCCTTTGACTGTGTGGATCACAACAAACTGTGGAAAATNGTTGGACTATAAAGAAAGCTGAGTGCTGAAGAACTAAAGCTTTTGAACTATGGTGTTGGAGAAGACTCTTGAGAGTCCCTTGGACTGCAAGCAGATTAAACCAGCCAATCCTAAAGGAAATCAGTCCTGAATATTCATTGGAAGAACTGATGCTAAAGCTGAAACTCCACTATTTCAGCCACCTGATGCAAAGAACTGACTCATTGGAAAAGACCTTGATGCTGGGCAACACTGAAGGCAGGAGGAGAAGGGGACGACAGAGGATGAGATGGTTGGATGGCATCACTGACTCGATGGACATGAGTTTGAGTGAACTCCGAGAGTTGGTGATGGAGAGGGAGGCCTGGCGTACTGCAGTCCATAGAGTCGCAAAGAGTCGGACACGACTGAGCGACTGAACTGAACTGAACTGAACTGGGGTCTCTCATGGAAATGAAGAGATTACACAGCCATGACTAAGATGAGGTGGTTTCTTTCTATTCTATTTGCTGAATATTTATATCACAAAAGAGTATTGAAAATGTGGTTATCAGCTCTTCTACAACTAGCTCTATAAAAAGAAAAACCACATTGAGACAAGTAAGAGGGGAAGAGACAGAATCTATTTAGGACCCCCACTCCCACAAGCAGGAGGGGACATCACAGGGTAGAGAGGTCCTCCCCGAGGAGGAAGGGTGTGCACCCCACATTAGGCACCCCTGCAGTGGGAAGGTAAGCCTCCATGGTACAGTCTTTGAAAGCCAACAGGGCTTATGTCCAGAAGGGCCAGAGGGCTGTGGACAACCGAGCCTCTGCTCAAACTCACTCTTTGCAAGTCCCTGCAGAGAGGCAGCAGTTTGAAAAGCACCTCCACCAGACATGAAGGAAATTCACTGACTCATTTTACAGGAAGTGCCAAGGAGCGTGGATCCGCTGGAGCTATCTCCAGGGATCAAAGAGCTGGCATGCACCATTCACCTTTCATTCTCCCTCAGCCTAACTGGTCAGGCTCTGGGGGTGCCTTTCTGACATTTGCCATCTACCAGCCTAGGGTCACTTGCCTTGCCTGGTATTCCCCTTGCACCTGCAACCTACTCAACCCACCCTCCCCGGCCAGCCCTCTTCCACAGCAGCTCTCGCCCTGCCACACCCAGGGGCAACCTTGGCTGGGACTGGTTTTCCACACTCAGCAGATGGCCTCAGACTGAACCAGAATGCTCCTCAAAGCAGCTCCTATCCCAGAGGGCTCCAGCCCAGCCCACCAAGGCACCAGCCCCAGCAGTTTGTGGCTGGACCTGGCCACCAGACCTGCAGAGCTCAGGCCCGGCCTCAGAATCAGCCTTGCTGGGGGCTCACCCAGCTTACCAACACATCTGCAGCAGACACAACCCGGCCTAGGAGATGTTACACGCCGGGACAGGCTGGGACCTGGGATGCTTTGCTGTGGTGCCTGCACCTAGTTAAATGTCTCCCTGAGCAACAAAATACAAAACAACTGTGGGGACTCAAAATAACTCTGTGCATGGACTGTTGGGGAAAATCATAGATGACATGGTACAAAAAGAACAAAAAAAAAACAGCTGCCACTTCTGAAGAGCCCGGAGCAAACACAGGGCGTCGGGATCCAAAGCAGGGTACTGCACATGCCCTCTGCACAAAATACCACCAAAGGGTTGGGCAAGCTGCTTAAGTCACTCCTGCAGCCTGACCCCTGGACACACCCGTACCCGCACCCCCTGTAAGGACTGAAGCTGACCCACCTCATGGAGCAAGCACGGGAACCTGTTGTCTGTTCTGACTCCCCTCGGCTGCAACAGGGGCCCCAGTAAAGCCTTGCCTGAATTTCTTGGGTTTCCCTGATGGGTTCAGATGGTAAAGAATCTGCCTGCAATGCAAGAGACCTGCGTTCAATCCCTGGGTTGGGAAGATCCCCCGGAGGAGGGCATGGCAACCCACTCCAGTATTCTTGCCTGGAGAATCCCCATGGACAGAGGAGCCTGGTGACCCCAACAACAGTCCATGGGGTCACAAAGAGTCAGACACGACTGAGCAACTAACACTTTCACTCTCTTGAATTTCTTATCTGGCCGCCTATCAATTTCTACTGGTTGGGGAAAGGCCAAGGACTCTGATCTGTGTCATTACTACTATGACTCACTGAAGGCTCAGATGATGGTTAGCATTTTTTAGCAATAAAGTGTTTTTTAATTAAGGTATGTACATTTTTAATATAGCTCGGTGGTAAAAAAAAAAAAAAAATCTGCCTACTAGTGCAGGCGATGCAGGAGACACAGGAGATGCCAGTTTGATCCCTGGGTCAGGAAGATCCCCTGGAGTAGTAAATGGTAACCCACTCCAGTGTTCTTGCTGGGGAAATCCCATGGACAGAGGAATTTGGTGGGCTACAGTCGCTAAGAGTCAGACGTGATTGAGCACGCATGCAGAAGCACATTGTTTAGACATAAAGCTAATATACACACTTAATAAACTACATCACTGTGTAACCATAACTATTATATGCACTGAGAAAACAAAAAAATTCCTATGACTCACTATATTGCTATATTTGCTTTATTGCAGTGGTCTGGAACCAAACCTGCAATATCTCCAGGATATGCCTGTACTAAAGTCTGGTCCTCACAGACCAGTCTATGCTATTTCAGGAGAAACAGAGATCCAGAGGACATAAGTTACTTTCCCCCACGTCATACAGTTAGCAAATAACAGAGCAATAATTTCAACAGACAGTCTAGTTTCAGTAGACAGTGCTTCTCAAATTTGAATGTACTTAAGAATCAATTGAAGAACCTGATAAAGCACACATTTCTGAGCTCCATTCTCTGGGATCCTGATTTGAAAGATCTAGGGTGAACACCATGCCACACTCACAATGTGATCTTAGTATCCTCCATATATCAAACTTTGTTTAACAAGTTATTTTGGTTAACAGGAGTCATTTCATGGCTATCTTCATTGGGGAGTAGCCCAGAGACTAAGATGCTGTGAGAATTAAGACGTCCAGATTCTAAAACAGTTGGTGCAACCAGATAAATAAATGTTGGCAAGTCTATTTCCCAGTTCCCTTGCATCCCATAAAGAAAGAGAGAACTTGTCTTTACTACAAACTTGCTGTGTGAACCAACTAGCTGGTATAAAATCAAGTGCCAAGGTGCAAAGGTATGTTGTTCAGTTGCTAAGTCATGTCTGACTCTTTGTGATCCCATGAACTGGAGCAGACCAGGCTTCCCTGTCCTTCACCATCTCTCAGAGTTGGCTCAAACTCACGGAGTTGGTGATAACATCCAACCATCTCATCCTCTGTCATGTCCTTCTCCTCCTGCCTTCAGTCTTTCCCAGCACCAGGGTCTTTTCCAATGAGTTGACTCTTCGCGTCAGATATGAGAGAGGGAGATCAACAAAATGATAAAATTTAAAATTCTTAAAACTAAGTAACATGTCAAAAGGAATATAGGAGATGAGCTGTCCCATAAAAATGCGTAGTGCATATATGGGAAGGAACTGATAGAATTAGCTTCAACACATTAAAGGAACAGGAATGGGGGTGAAGAGAAAAACACAAACACTCCCTCCTAAGAAAAAAAAGAAAGAAAAATCAGTTTATAGGATTAGAACCTGATTAAACAGTATCATTTGTTCAAGCCAGAATTCACACCTTTGGAGCAAATAAAATGAACATGCTCTTGTAATTTTAATCAAAGATGTACCACCTAAAACAGGAATATCTTTCCAATATTAATCAGAGGTAATGTCCTGGAGAGCTCCCTCAAAGAGGCCTGAACTGCAAATTGTACATATCAAGTTGCAGGTAGATAGGCAGAGTGTGGAATGGAGATTCCTTGGCAGGACACTTATTGGGGGAAAATCTCCAGATTTACATGTCCCTGTGGACATAGGGAGAGAAACAGGATTGTACACCTGGAGACGCTGGGTTGGAAGGCAGTCACAAGAGAGTCTTCAGCTAATCCCATGGTAAATATAAAACAGGGATGGCCCTTCAGAGTTGTCCCGACGTGGAGAGAGGTGCCTGGTAGTTACAATTCCCACAGCTCTCAGTTCTTAGGTGCGGGCTGCTCTGAGAGGAGAGTCAGTTCACGGGTGAAGTTAACTTTTAGGGAGGGCACACAGTAGGGCTGTCTGTGGGTGACTCCCAGCTACTGGGGAAGTACATCCTGCATTGTAGAAAGGATCCTGGGTAGCACATCACAGCATCCACTCAGGCAATCATCTGCAAGTTAGGCAGTTAAGTTCCAGTCCTATTCATTTGGTAACCTGCTCCCAATAGGCAAGATTTCTCTCCCAATGATTATAATGATATTCCCATAGCTGAGCATTCTTATACCCTAAATGCAGCGTGTTCTGTGATATCTATTCATTCAGTCAGATGAAGCCAAGACAAAATCAGGTATTTTCATGTATGATTAGATTAAAACCTGCAAACCACATTCTTACTCTGGGGCCAGGCTAATGAGTTACTTCATTGCATAGCTCAGTAAATTCCTTAACATGACGGGTAATTCTAGGAAATAACCAAAAGATGGCAGTGTATACACATGATTGTTAAATTTCTTTGGCTGCCAGGGAAAACTGAAAATCTAAGCTTGCTTGCCTCCCAAACGTTGTTCTAAAGAGTAGCTAAATAACTTACACTAACTACTATAAAGAAAAATCCACTTTTTGTTGGTGATGTAATTGCACACAGATATAGTGACAGTTCTTTAAGTGTGTTAAGGAAATAAGCTGCCCCACACCTGCTGATAAAGAGGTTCTCTTTTATCTTGTATAACAGCTGTTGCTGACATCTGCCTGATAACATATCTGAGCCTCAGTTTCCTCTTTTGAAATGGGAATGATAGTACCTCCCTTGTAGAGTTGCTGCAAAGAAAAAAATAAGGGAAATGTTTATATACAGAATTCATAACAGATCCTGGTGTATTGTATTCGCTATTAATGTTTACTTTTCACATGTCAATCGACATACTAACACTATACTTGCTTCTCATCCAAGTTGTCATTTATTAAATGTGTGCAAAGTATCACATTTAGCATTTCACAATCATATTGCATCGGGTATCTCATTAAATCTTTGGAGCAAACTTTGAGTATGAACAAATGGGTACAGATGCAGAAACTGAAGTACAAAAAGATCAAAAATCATGCCCAAGGTAAAACTGCTTATAAATGACTGGAATGAATTTCTAATCCTGGTTGTATTTACAGGAAGGCATATTGCCAGGGACAGGGGAGGAACAATTAAAGCAGGAAACAATACCTCTGACTTTTCCCATCTTCTCTCCACAATCCCTCGTAACACATTGTGTTCACCTCAGGCTTCTGAATTACTCAAATTCATATTCTCCTGATGTGAGGCAGAAACCAACATGGCCTGGATTGCTGAAGATTTATATTGCTTGACATGGAGAAGCAGCTCTATGACATTAGTTGGTCACTGCAGATATTTAAACGTATTAAAGCCAAGGGATGTATCCACTTTTCTGTGTTCTTCTAAGTTGTATTCATTTTTTTGGTGTGGAGAGTTCAGATGAGAGTTCAGATAAGAGTTCGAGTATTTTTGAGAGAAGAGACAGACATTGTGAAGATGAAGGCGGGGACAATTGTTGGGCGGACTCCCCAGATTTGACTGCTACATACCTTGAACTACTCTGAACTGGCAGTCATGGCCACTGTCCATTGAGAGCCTGAGATGCAGGAGGGGACTGGGGTTGAAATGGAGGGAGGAGACTGAAACTGCACAACTGCAGGCCAGGGAGACAGTGTGGGACTCAAATCTATGAATTAGCAATGTGGGTCTTCTCATCCCAGGGAAAGGCAGACCACCCTGGAATACCATGCTCGCTCAGGAGCCCACACCATGAGTGGATGGCTAAGTAAACAAATGTTTCTATCGAGGACATGCATGATGAACAACTCTGAGCGTCTACTTTCAAGGCACTGGCCTTGTTACAACTCATCAGTTAAGTTCAGTTCAGTTCAGTCGCTCAGTCATGTTCAACTCT